TGAAACCTTGCTCAAGCTCACATCTAAGCCCGTATCGAAATGCTGAACCTGAACCCGAAACCCTAGGCCAAGGACAAGAAACAACTCGAGGTTGCTTGGGGGCTTTGGGTTCGTTGTCGCAGCCAAAAAGTCACCAAGGCACAAGCAAAGTAAAACAGTTACATAAGAGACAGAGAGAGAGATAGAGAGGGAGAGGGAGATGGTGGCACAGCCGCATGCAACAAATATGCTAAGCCCCCAGATTGTCTTATCGCATTGAATTAGGTGTCTAACCCTTATTTCAACTGCCAGAGAAACTCTGACACTTTTACGCTTATTCTTGCCGTTTCATTTTATTTTTTCTTCCTTTCTCACCTCCCCTCTTTTTTTTTTTTTTTTTGTATTTTATTTATTTGCGGGCCGCTTTGCTATTTGGCCTGGCTGCGTTGATTTGCTGGCATGTATTTTGGTCGCTGCGCCCCCGGCAGGAGACCCCGAGTCGTCCTCGTTGTCGTCGTCGTTGCTGTTGACACTTCGAGCATTTGCGGGCTTGTCATGTTGCCGCTCGCTTATCGCTGATTCAAGCCCAGGCCCTAGCCCAGGCCCTAGCCCAGGCCCTAGCCCAGAGCCCCAGCCGGAGCAGGCCCCAAGCTGCGAGAGCATTTAAATATTTATTGCAATAAAATGTTTTCAATTGCGGCCCCGCCCACGCGCTGCATTCGATATGCAGGACAAAGTTGAAGAACCAAAGGGCGCAATTATGCAGCCGCTGTGAGGTGACACGAGAGAATGAGAAGGAGAGAGAGGGCGTGGCAGAGGGAGAGGGAGAGGGAGCCAGCAAGAATGAGATGTATTTCAGTTCATCTAATTGCGCGCTAATCGCCGCAAAAACATTTTAAAAATTTACGCGGTAAATTGTGGAAATCCGAGAGCATTTTCCACGTAACTCCTGCAGGTGCAGGTGGCTGGATGGCAGCAGGCAGACGCCTCCTGCTGCCGAGCAAGTTCCACTGCAGTATGCAATGCAAAAAGTTAGCGGCAGTTGGCGAATGCCGTGCGGCTTTGCCAAGTTTATGCGCTCGCTTCCGCCGGAAGTCGGCAAAGTGTGCGTCTAAGTGCTCATCAGCTGGCTGAGCCCCGCAACTGCCCGCCCCCGACTGCCCGCAGCACCCGACGGGCTGCACTGCGCTCACGACATGATTTCACGGCACGTTTTCGGTTGTTTTTAATGCAATCAACTCGACGGCCCCCACCGACTGCCCCAACCGACTCCTGCCCTGCCCGCCAGCCTGTGTGCCCCCCTGATCGTATCATGCTCTCTGCGGCCTGGTGGGCGGCAGTCTCTCTCCCTCTCTCCCTCTCTCTCTCCCTCTCTGTCTGCCTCTCTCGCTATATTTTTTTCGTTTTTGCGGCTGCTGCCAGTGCCACAAATTAGATTTAGTGGCAATTTATTGCTTTGTTAGCATTTCCACGTTCCATCCGCCCCTCCCCCCAAGCAACCCTCCGCCCGACCTACCGACTGCCCGCCCGCCAAACTCTTCTGTCAAAATATGCCCCGAAATGGCAAACTGAATGTGGTGCAAGTGGTGCTCGTAATTTGCTGCCTCCTCGCAGCCGCCTCCTGCCGCTGCCCGCTGCCCGCTGCCCGCTGTCGCTCCACGTATTTGCTTTTTAATAATGTGTGCTAAGTAATTCTATTTGATTTTCCTTCCATTTTTGTTCTTCTTCTCTCTCGCATTCTCCTCGCCTCTCCCATTTCGTTTGTTTCGCGAGATTTTTGCTACTGTTTAATATTTTCTTGTGCACCCATTAAAAATGCCTGAAAAGGGTATTCCGTGGGCCGTCCGCTTCCCATTTTATATTCGTGCGTGACTCAGAGTTCTTTATAGTAAAAATAATCTCTATAATTCGCACCCATCTGCGGCCCTTTGTGCAGACCTTCAATATTTTAAGTCTTTACTTTCCTCCTTCGGCGGTTTTTATGGTTTTCTTCTTCTTTTTCATTCTCTTTTGATCTTTGGTGTAACTATTTTTGTCACCTTTCTCTGCGATTTTTATTCGTAACTCTCATTTCTCATTTTAAACTCTGTCTTTGTCTCTTTAACAGTAATTTTTTATTTCTACATATAACTCTCTGTCCCTCTCTCTCTCTTCTTCTCTTTTCTCACTCATTCCTTGTCTCTATTTTCCATTTTTCTTATTCGTTAAGGTACCTCTCTCCCTCAGTCTCTATTTCTCATTATCTCTTTTTTCTCTTACTTTCTTCTCTCCTCTCCGTCCTCTCTCTGTATCCCTCTCTCTCTCTCTCTCTCTCTCCCTCTCACTCTCTCTTTATCAGTCTCTCTCTCTCTTTCCCTCTCTCTGTCTCTCCCACTCTCTCTTTCTATTAGTCTCTCTCTCTCTCTTTTTCCCTCTTTCGCTCTCTTTCTTTGACTCTCTCTCTCTCTGTCTCGCTCTTTCTCACTCCCTCTCCCGCTCTCTCCCCCTCTTTATCAGTCTCTCTGTCTCTATCAGTCTCTCTCTCTCTCTATCCCTCTCCCCCCCCCTCTCACTCTCTCTCGCTCTCTCTCTCTCTCTCACCTCGGCTTATCTGACTCTCTTTGACCCACTTTTCTTTCTTCTTTCCCCTTTCCCTACCTTTTCCCCAAATACAGGGTATAATTGCTTAGATCATTCCCAACTCCAGTTCTGACACTTATCCCAGTCCATGGCTAAGTCCAGGCAGTGGACGCGGGTCTCGTCGCGGCACTTGGCAGTCGGCACACACATTAAGTAATTGAAAATTGATGCTGGCAGGAAGACAGCGACTAAGGCAAGTGAAGTCGATGGAGCAGGAGGAGGAGAAGTCCGTCGACTCTATGTCCACTCAATAGACCGCCTTCATTTGGTGCGTAGTGAGTGGGTATGTAGGCTTTAGTGCTTCAAGAGCTTGTCAGAGCGACAACAAGCTCTCCCTCAGTTAGAATTTTTCAATTTAATTTCGAAGTCAATCGTATATCCCATTGAAAATATGCTCCCACACATCCGCACTTCAGGCCAAAGCGAGCCGAGCCGAGCCGAGCCGTTGTTGAATTCATCACATAAAATATCTCATTAATTGCGCTTGCCTACACATAATTTTCAGCGTGCCGCAGTTCCATTAGGAGGAAGCAAAACAAACGTTGACATTAATTTTGCTTATTACCACAATAATTATGTTTATTCATATACCCAGTGAATGGGTCGAGAAGGGTATTATGAGTTGGCAGAGCAAAATCTAAAAAAAAAAAAAATATAAGATTAAAATATATTCAATGAGCTGATATACCCTGTAATAATAGCCTGGTAAACTAGACCTGGACACCTTATACATATATCAGCTCTGCTCACAGGGTATCCTTGAGTCCGCACCGTGTCCTTCTTTGCGCCGCTGTGTTGAGCCTCCAGGGATACTCTGACTGCGCCAGCCGTGTTCTTTAACTGATTCAGCCAATTAGCTTTCATATTTTGGTGGGTTCGCACACATACCACTTGGTTCGATATCAATTCTAAATAATATCCATATCCCAAAAGATGACAATCTATATATAGTCGACATGTACTGCATAATCAGATATGATTCGTGCCGCTGTTGGTTTTTGCCTTCAAACGAATTGAATTTCTTAGAATTTTTAATAGCATCTCCGAATGGCAAAAGCTAATTATTACCATCGAACATACACATATGCATTCATACATACGTATATATGTATATATGTCATATGTCTGATGCGTGTCATGCATAGACATACGCACATGTATATTATTACCATAGACTGTGGGTGTAGGAATTTCTGTTGACATATGTGATTCGAGGTAGAGCTCTTCGGTCGAGCTCTACCGGCTACCCCATATGCGTTTACGGTGCAAATAAATTCGATATGAATATTTTCAGGTGCCCAAATTTCTGCAAAGGTGTTAATAGTTGTCGGTAGAGACTGTTTACGAAGGAGCCTAACTCCAAAACTGAGTTATACTTAGTTTATTTTCTGCTCTACCGGCTCTACCAGCTACCCCTTACGCTTTTACGGTGCATACATTAATTGATTTAATTTTATATGAATGTTTTCATATTTTTGCATTGGTGATAATAGTCGGTAGACACTGTTTACGAAGGAGCCTAACTCCAAAACTGAGTTATACTTAGTTTATTTTCTGCTCTACCGGCTCTACCAGCTACCCCCTACGCTTTTACGGTGCATACATCAATTGATTTAATTTTATATGAATGTTTGCATGTTTTTGCATTGGTGATAATAGTCGGTAGAGGCTGTTTACGGAGGAGCCTAACTCCAAAACTGAGTTATACTTAGTTTATTTTCTGCTCTACCGGCTCTAGCGGCTGCCCCCTACGCTTTTACGGTGCATACATCAATTGATTTAATTTTATATGAATATTTTTATATTTCTGCAAAGGCGTAATAGTTGTCGGTAGAGGCTGTTTACTGGGGTGCCTCTAAAGTTGATATATACCACTCTAATCGTCATATATAGAGGAGATATATATGTGCAACAACTTGAATGATATCAAGTGAGTTTTGTGGTATTCCAAGAGAGAGAGAGAGAGTTACCTCAAGCTAAATGGTATCTAATATAGAGTGTGCGCATGTCAAATGAAGATCATCCTGAAGGAACGGCGTATGTAGTGCCTGAGATCATTACAGTTGATTTGTTAAAGGAGTGATTGATGCTGGTCAGATCTGGCTAGCACCCTCTATATGTTTAGGTGTTTGCCCTAATTGCTCGCATAGTAAAGTACTCGTATATCATGAGTCCCCCATCTGCCTCGCCATGGATAAACGACAGCTGAACGACGTGAATTTCCTTCAGCTTCATCAGTTAGATTTTGACACCTGAATGACGTGTATTTCGTTTAGTTTAGTTTTCATTTCATGGTCCAGTAGGCGTTGCTTTGTGTATCCAATTCCATTCCATCTAGTAGTCCTACAATCGTGTTTTTAGTCTAGTGTCCGCTCAGAGTTTCGAGCACAATTTACAATTTCATTTGATTTCGGCCAGTACGCAGTTTTTAATTTTCCCAATGATAAAATTTCAACTAACGCAATAAATTTTCTATTCAATTCGCAAATAACTGACAAGCTCGCTGAAATATCGTCGTATTGTGTTTAAATTTTTGTTAGCTGTTTCTTGTTTGTTGTGTTTCGTTCAAGTTAGCAGCGGTAGCATGGAGTGCGCTTTTGACTTGAAGCCGCTGTTCGAGAAGGACATCATCAAGGTGCGATCGGACCTGCTGCCCGAGGGCTTCGTGGGCAGCCCCGAGGCGTGCTGCGATGCCAAGCGCAAGCTGGGCTGGATCATTGACAGGATCGGGCTGCTGTCGGCCCAGGCGCAGGGCCTGCACACATCGGTGACCAGTGCCCGGCAGATGAATGGCAATCAGACGATCTACCTGATGGCCGGCAAGGCGAAGGAGGGCGGCAAGCTCGTCGTCACCGGCCTGCTCAAGATGGGCCCCAAGGATCTCTATCTGTTCGACGAGCGCGGGCAGCTGCGCAGCCGCATCGGCACTCCGGCCGTGCTCGACTTCTTCGTGCACAGCGCCCATCAGCGCCGCGGCCTGGGCAAGCGCCTGTTCGACAATATGCTGCGCGACCTCGATCTGACCCTGTGCAAGTGCGCCGTGGATCGCCCGTCGGCCATGATGACAGCCTTCCTGGCCAAGCACTACGGCCTGGTGCGCACCATCGCCCAGGCCAACAACTACGTGCTCTACGATGGCTTCTTCGGCAACAGCGATGCCGATGCCCAGGACATACCCAACACCAGGTTCGTGCGACGCCCGCGGGCAGCCGCCAAGCCCGAGCTGGAGCACAAGGTGCTCAGCATGGCCGAGATTATGGAGGCGGGCAATAGGCATTCGCGCGACAGCAGAACCATCATCAAGCGCAGCGGAGATAGCAGAAGCTGGCAGTAAGGATGCCGCGGCTTTGTGGAGACAGACGGCGGGGACGGACCGTGGGGGCGGACAGTGGGGCCGGACGAGGGGCGGGACAAGGGGACGGACAGGGGAACGGACAAAGGGACAGAAATAGACAGAATCGCTTAAGGATAACAATCTGTAGTAGTCTTATATACATATATATAGAATATATATACATATGTATGCTATCTACTCACATATAGATGCATATGTATATATATTGATACATATTCACATATCTACACGCACATTCACACATGCACATGTCCATGTGAACTATCTGAAAGTATGCCATTGTCTATCACGTGTTGTCTCGCAGCACTACGGAAAGCATTCAACTGACTCAAGAGGTTGTCGACAATCGAAATAGCATCTTTTATTCGTTTTTGGCCGAGGGAGCGTTCCCAAAATTCGAGTACACACGAAACACGGATTTCACAAGTCTACACTTTACATTTGTTGGGATTTAGCTGTTTAGGTACTAAATGTATTATCCAAATCATATTTCTACGTTTAATAAATAATGTAAATATAACCACGCCGAGAACTCGTTATTTGGGCGACTTCATAATCGGCTATCGGAAACTGTACCAGAACAAGCTGGTATTATGCTTCTGTAATAGAACGTGCTGCTGCTGCTCACGCTGTTCGAATACCCTCGAAATCATTGAGAGCGGAAACTCTGGCTATGAAGGTCTTGTGAATGGGCAGAGAATAGGGCGTGAGAGAAATCCCATTGCACAGCTAATATGTAGAGCTTATCACTGATCTGGAAGGCAGAGAAGAGGTCGTGAGAGAGACCCCATATCATATCTAAAATATATGCATATACCATATTATATTCTGTGTACGATATGTGTATATTCCTGATTAAAAAGACTTCCTGTATCGATCTAATTATATCCGTCTGTTAGCTTCTCCCCTCTTCCACTTGTCCGTCCGTTTGTTGACGCTTCTCTCTCTCTCTCTCTCTCTCTCTCTAACAACAAAAGCCAAAGACTTGCTGTTTGTAAGGCTTATTTATTTGGTTCATCATTTTTCTTTTCGATAGGTCAAACTCATTTTCTTATCGATAAAAATCGATAGATTGACTTGGTCTCTGAAGCGTACCCTGGATAGCATTAGAGTTACACATTTTATATTTGCTGTGTAGGTTCGTGTATTACAGACCAATATATAAGAATTTTCGGATTTTAGATACGTGTCCCAATTTCCCAAATACACACAAAGAAAAACTTACATGCCTTTCCAGAGACTTGAATGTCATTTTCATGCTCTGAAAACTGAAATTAAAAATTGTATAGAAAATAAAAGTTAATCAAGAAATAATCAGTCAGCGTAGAGCCGCAGCTCAAGCTCTGCCCAAGCAAGCAGAGCTCGTGCTTGTGTGTGTCTTGCTTGATTGGAATGTTAGCTGAGCACACTGTAAAGGGTATCTGCTAGTCGAGCCCACTGGAGAGAACAGTTTGCATAGTTTCAATTTCATTTAACTTTTATTTGCTGCCACGTTGGCAATGCCAAATGTGGCGTTAAGGTAACTTTGTCWTGTTGTTGTTGTTGTTGTTGTGGCTGCTGTTGTTGTTGTTGTTGGTTATTGCCCAGCATTGGCATAATATTTAATAGGCAGGCAAACAGTTGGCTCGAGAGGCTGCGAGAGGCTGTCCTCTGTCTCCCTCTTTCTCTCTCTCTCCCTCTCTATCAATGGCCCACGCAGTTTAGGCCGTGTCGCATCATTTTAGCCAAATGGCAGCAACGCGAAAACAAATTCTGAGCCGCGCCGCGAATGGCGAATGGCGAAACGAGTTTAATTTCTCGGCCGTTCGCAATTGGAGCTGCATTGGATGCGCGCATCTCTGTCTGGATATGTGTATTTGCGAAATGTTGGCGAGAAACAATGATGGTTGGGGCAAATGGGAAATGAAATTCAGTTGAGCAGGCACACACACCTACGCACACACACACACACGTACGCATCGAGACAAGCACAATGGGAAAAATATTAAAATTCAAAATTTTTGTCACGTGTCAAACGCCATTTATGCGCTTCGTGATCGGACGCGGCTCAGTCTGGGGCTCACATATACATATGCACATGAGCCAGGCACACACACACACACACACACACACACACACACGGATAGCACGGCCTCAATACCAATACTAATGCACGCACGTAGGCAGCGGACAGCAGGACACGTAGACAAGGCGACGCAGCGGTCGCTGGAAGCAACAGAAAGTTGAATAACATGGCGAGGTTAGTTTAGTGTGAGTGAGAGAGAGGGAGAGGGAGAGGGAGAGGGAGAGGGAGAGGAAGGGAGGAGGAGTGGTAGTGGTAGTGTGGGCGTAAGACAACAACGAGTCGCTTGGGGCATTGAAATTATCTCACGCAATGTGTAACACACTGAAGACGAAATCAATATTTATATAAAGGTGCTTGCTGCACCCAGAGTAACAGGTATACATGTATGTGTATGTGTGTGTATATATTATAATAGTATTACAGAGTATTTATAGACATACAGTGAGTAACAGGAAATGGGATGCATAGTATGAAATATAATAAGAAAAGTGTAAGTGATAAGTTTTAGATAGAGAAATTTCTTTTTTTTTAAAAGAGAAATTATAAAATGTATTTATTTACAGCTTAGCGCACCGCTACCTAATTGGTAACTTAATCTAAACAGATATTTACAAAAATTTATTTACTTAA